GTAGCAATGTGTGTGCAAGTTTCAGAGCACTATCTTAAATCGTGGAGTGTAGCTTAATATTGGGCTATCTTGAATTATATTTGTGAATTATACATCAACAATAATGCTATGCAAGACAACGTTTGCCGGGCCCGCTAGTATATATATATATTTCAACGAGACCTGCCAGAGATTAACTTATATTAACTACAGTTCATTATACAAAATTGTGTGGCAATCGGACAAACTTTGGATCTTTAGACCTAATTCATTACGCTATGCCCAATTCCGTACAAATATGTTGACATTGGTGTACAATTTACATTAAGGGGACCCCCCCATTCTCGGGGTCAAAATATTTTTTGATTTATTTCGAATCTACACTAATTCAAGAATGTCTCTACAAAATTTCAAGTGAAAATCTCAAGAACTCTTGAAGATATAGCCGATTTATTGTGTCAGCATCAAGTGACGGCTAAAGGGCTTCTCAAACTTTAAACGCGTTTTTCTCTTTTGCGAATGGCGGGCACGATAACTCAAAACTAATAACCCAATAGATTCCATATTTTTACACGTTTCTCTGTGAATGTATAACTATCGTATGAACTAGGATAGAGCCAATCGGTGAAGATCTTCCTTATTTTTTAACTTGGTTTTTGGTCAAAAATCGGCGATTTTCCAAAATAGGTCCGCCATTTTGTTCATTTTAGAGGAGAAGTCAATAATCCTAGTTCATACGAGAGCCAGACATGTACTCTTTCTAACACCGTTGGAATTTTCGGATTCCGATGTTCCAGTGAAGAGTTATCATGCCCGCCATTAAAAATAAGGACTTTTCTTTAATTACAAACCAGTAAGGAAAGTAGTAAAGTCGGACGGGGCCGACTATATGATACCCTTCACCACTATGGGTATATTAAACAGGACTATTATCATGAAATTGTATGAAATAAAATATGTTATATTTATCTAACTGTGAAACGACCTATATCTATTCATAAACATGTCATTCGTTTGTTACAATGGAACAAAAGTATGTAAATTCAAACAAATATTAATAGGTCATCCGTTGAACTAGGTCTGTACTTCTAGAAAACCCAACTACGTTATTCTATGCTCAATTTTGTACGTTGTGCAAAATTTGATGTCAATCTATCAAATATGAGGAGCACAATTTACTTATATTGGATGCTATATCCAAATATGAACCGATTTCAACGAAACTTGTCACAGGTTAGGTTATACTAATTTCAGTACCTTTTCTTTCTATCAGCCATATATTGGTTCCTTGGTGCGTCAATTACATAAAATCATTATTTAGATTAAATCGGATGAATATATATATATATATATATATGGATAGATGTGAATCGATTTTCACGGAACTCAGCACACATCATTCCAGCATCAATTCAGAACGCTATGCCAAATTTTGTGCAAATCGAAGGATATATGTGGTGCACCATTTACATTAAATCGGACGAAAATATATATGGGAGCTATATCCAAGTCTTGGCCGATTTTCACGAAACTTGGCACATCATTCTGGATTAAATTCAAAACGCTATGCAACATAAGAACTTGGTACATTATTTAGATTAAATCGGACGAAAATATATATCTAGATCTGAATCGATTTCCACGAAACTCAGCACACATTATTCCAGCAGTACGTTATGCCAAATTTCGTACAAATCGAAAGATATATAGGGATTTTGGTGCCCCATTTACATGAAATAGGACGAAACTATATATGGGAGCTATATCTAATTCTGGACCGATTTTCACGAAATTTGGCAGACATCACTCTAGGCCCAATTCAGTACGTTATACAAAATTTCGTGCAAATCGAAAGATATATAGATACTTTGATACACCATTTACATTAAATTGGACGAAAATATATATGGGAGCTATATCTAAATCTGAACCGATTTTTCCCAATTTCAATAGGGTTCGTCCTTGGGCCAAACAAATCAGCTGTGCCAAATTTCATCCAATTCGGATCATAAATGCGACCTGTACTTTGCTCACAAAAATACATGGACAGACAGACAGATGGTCGGACATGCTTAAGTCAACTTAAAAAGTGATTCTATGCATATTCTCAAAAGGAACCATGGGTATATCTCGTTTCCTTTTGCCTTTTACAAACATATGCACAAAGACATAATACCCTGTACCACAGTGTGGTGAAGGGTATAAAAACAACAACAGTAACAAACATTTTTTGTAAATTATTTTTCTTCTCTTTTAAATCTTCAAATATATATGTGCAAAGTTACAAACCTTAACAAGCATTGGTATTGATTTACCAGCCCATTGAAAATCTTGAAGAATTCAAATTGAGAATGGATGGGTTTCCCTTAAATCGGACGAAAATATATATGGGAGCTATATCTTGATCTGAACGGATTTTCAGGAAACTACACACACATCACTCTAGACCTATTGCACAACTATTTTAATATAAACAAGTGAAAAAGCGTTAAGTTCGGCCGGGCCGAACTTTGGATACCCTCCACCATAGATATACTGACAGGTACTAGAAATGAAAAAATATTCTTTAAAAATCCACACCTATTGATAGTCCTTAAAAATATTCTTTAAAAATCCACGCCAATTGATAGTCCTTAAAAAGCTATTCTTTAAGAATACACCCCATTGATAGTCCTTGAATAGCTATTCTTTATATACTGATAGATATACTGATAGGTACTAGAAATAAAAATATAGGGAGCATACAAAAGAGTGGACCTATACCGACATTTCTAAAAAGGGATTATGTAAACCATAATAAAAAATTCATTAATTTTGAATGGATAATTATATACTGTGGCTAATCGAAATATTGGTTCTACACCCCATGTTTCTTTGGACTAAATCCGTTACAAAAATGTAGTTTTCATCCAAACTTTGTCCATCTTATTATTTCTTCCAATCTTAGTTCAAATTCGAAGATGGGGAATATCGGTCCACTTCTTCTGGAACCTCCATACACGGACTAGGTCTAAAAGCGGGTTATAGTTCATTATCGAACGTTACGCTCTACTTTTTTATCACGATATCCTCCGCAGGTGAAAAGATTACATCAGAGTCTTAGAACCAAACTCAAAACGCGGAACAAATCAGATAACCATTTTAATATAAAAAAGGGGTTTATATGGGGACTACCCCAAAATGGGGGCGAATATTAATAATTTTTGGTAGGGAGATTTGGTACCATATACGACTACAAAATACCAATTTGCAGCAAATTCGGTTGAATAACGCGTTCAAGAACCCTAAAATACCGAAAATTGGGGTACCCTTATATGGGGGCTATCGCAAAAATGGACCAATATTCATAATTTTTTTGTAATTTAAGAACTCAAAATACAAAATTACAGCTAAATCGGCGGAAAAATACGATCAAAATCCCCAAAATATTGAAAATTAGGAGGTACCGTTATATGGGGGCTACCGGAAAAAGTGGACCTATATTTATAAATTTCTGTGGAGACATTTAGTACCCAATAAGAACCCAATGTAGCAAATTTAAGAGTATTCGTTTGAAAAACGCGCTCAAGAACCCAAAAATACGGAAAATTGGGGGGTACCCTTATATGGGAGCTATGCCTAAACGTGTACCGATATATCCCATCTTCGAACTTGATCTGCCTGCAGACAAAAAAAGACTCTGTGCAAAATTTTGGCAATCTATCTCAACTCGTTTAGACGCTAGAGTGATTACAACAGACGGACAGACGGAAATGCTTAGATCGTCTTAGAATTTTACGCTGATCAAGAATATATATACTTTATAGGGTCGGAAATGATTATTTCGATGAGTTACAAACGGAAAAACAAAATTAATATACCATCCATACTATGGTGGAGGGTATAAAAAGTATTATTATGTGCAAAACATGGATGGAATCGGGTTTTCTATTCGAGTGTTATCGTGGGCACCAGCCAGCCTGACAGATGGATAGACGAACAGTTGTAAATCAGCTCCAAATTGTCTGATTTGATCCAAATAAACATAGGGTCTAAAACCAATTTCGGTGAGCCACATCAAAAGATTTAATCGTTGGTTTCAAATGTTTCATTGTATTGTATTTGGTGGATGTTGCCTGCGCCGGATATTTCTAAATAGACTACATATTGTCTGAATCGGATTGCATCCAAAGAAAAATGGGGACTAAAACAAATGGTTCGATGATTTTTGTCAAGTAAAATAATTTTAGAATGATCCTAATATAAATTAATAATTTATTATTCTCTCGAATAACATTTTTCAAAGTATGTCTACTTCGGTTCGAAGTAATATCATATTTCATATTTAATTTAGCTACCAACCATTTAAATTGAACGAAAAAATGTCAACAATTAAAAAAAAAGTTTTCATGAAATTAATAATTACTAAAATTTTAATTGGAATGCAAACATTTCATAATTTCTTTATACCGGTTTTATTTGGTAACTTTAATCGATATCAAACTAGTTTATATGGCATTTCAAATTGCATAGATTAAGAATCATTTGGAGTTTTATAGAACACTGATTTTCGTTTCGGTTTGATGATATTAGAACAAGTTGATAAATAGCTTTTTGTTTTTATGCTGTTGTTGTTTTTTCGAAGCAGAACCATTTTTATTGCTGTTGAGGGTGGCTAGGAAAAAAAAAACTAATTTATGTTAGTTTTTGACACCCTAAACATTTGTCAATTTGTTAGTCGAAATTTAGAGGTCTGATATAATAAAAAAATGTATAACGAAAACCACAACAACAATAACAAGAACATAAAAGTAATTACCTCACAATCGAACGAACGAACGACAACTTATTTTGCATAATGTTATGCAGGGATTTAGAAGTCAATTTCAAAAGAATTGGTTTTGCAAAGAATCCACAATTGCTGACGACACTGGTTTTTGTTGCCTAAGATGATGAGCAAGAACGAAATCTGGTTTAATTGTTGACGTGAAATGTATAACTTTCGTTTCTATTGCATTCTGTGTGCAGAGTATATAAGGGAACAGAAATCGCCATCCAGTATCATTCAAACTTCGAATAATCAAAAGATTTTAATCGTTGCAAAACAAGATGCGTGCTTTCATTGTATTGTGCTTGGTGGCTGTTGCCTGCGCCGACAAATTGGGCTATGACTATCACCCAGTTGGCCATTCCTCCAGTGGATTGTCCTTCACCCCCGGCTCTGGTGCTTCCTACAGCGGCGCTTCCTACGGCGGCAATTCTGGTGTCTCCTTCGGTTCAGGCTCTGGTTCCAGCTTCGGTTCTGGCTCTGGCTCCTTCGGTTCTGGTTCCTCCATCGGCTCCTCCTTCGGTTCATCGGGCTCCTCTTTCGGATCTGGTGCTTCTTATGGTGCTGCCAGCAACAATGTTGGTTCCTATTCTGCTCCAGCCGCAACCTTAGAAAAGGAATTCTACACTTTCTCTGCCAACGATGCTGACTTCAATGAACCCGCTGCCTCCAACAACATCAACGCCATTGCCAAGAAAAATCTCCGTGTTATCTTCATTAAGGGACCCGAAAACAATCACTTGGAAAATGCCGTCCTCGGCTTGGCCAAACAAGCTGCTGAACAAAAGACCGCCATCTATGTTCTCAACAAACAAACTGACCTCTCCGGTTTGGCCGAAAAGATCAACACCGTCAGCACCAACGTCAACCACAAACCCGAAGTCCACTTTGTCAAATACCGTACCCCTGAAGATGCCGCCAACGCCCAACGTGCCATCCAAAGCCAATACGACAGCTTGGGTGGTACCTCCCAAAGCTTCAATGGAGGTGTTGCTCCTGCCTTGAACTTCGCTTCCCAATCTACTCACTCATCTTTCAACTCTGGAGCTACATCCTCTTATGGTGTTGGTCCCCAAATTGCCTACAACTCCGGTAGCTTTGCTCCTGGTGCCTCCACTGCCACCAGCGCCACCTATCTTCCCGCATCTGTTTTGCGTCGTCTCCGCCACTAATAAATTAATTATTACAATTTAATAATTACTTTATTTAGTCTGGAGTGCGTGATTAAAATCGATTATATTTTAATTTCCTTTCAGCGAATAATAAAAATTTCCAATTTTCATAAAAAATAAATATTATGCAGTTTTTATTGTTTAAAAAATTGGGGAAATGGGAAAATCGAAAAATTCTGGATTGATATGCTACATTTCAGGACTATATTCTATAATGATAAAGACTATATAAAGATTTCCAATTTTCATAAAATATAAATTTTATGAATTTTTTATTGTTGAAAAATGGGTAAATCGAGAAGTTTTGGATTGACATGTTACATATCGGGCCTATATTCCGCAAATAATAAAGACTTCAAATTTTCATAAAATACAAATATTTTGAATATTTTACTGTTTACTGCTGGGGGGTATAGAAAATTAGGTTATTAAATTTAAGAAAATGGTTAAATCGAGAAGTTCTGAAGTGACACATTTGATAACAATTTGGATCAAATCAGAAACTCAATGCTCTTCACATCAGAAATATATATTTTTCAAATATATGTCTTCGAAATTGACCTAAGCTCGATAAAAATCATGAAGACAAACATTTTAAAATTATTGATAAATTGTAATAAGCATATTATAAGTTTGTGGGTCTCAAAAAGTATGTTATGCTACAAAATATTGGTCCTGAAACTACATTTTAGAATACCCATCGTTACATCTCGACTATCTGAATCGAATATTGCACCAATGTCCGGTTCTTTCCAAATACGGCACCTATACTATTACCCTCCACCACAAGGTCAAGTGTATATTAAGTTTGTCATTTCGTTTGTATCAGTACGAAATATACACCTAAGACACCATAGAGTGTACATAGAGCTCGCAATATTGTATGAAATTTCGGTCATACATTTCAATTCCTCTTAAGATGTTTGGTATTGAAAATGGGATATATCGGCCCTTCTTTTAAGGTAGCCCCCATATTCGATATTGTGAAGCTTTTGGGACACTTTTTTAACAGAATTGATTCTAATTTCATACTAGAGAGTTTCATCTTTCTACGAAAAAAATCCATATTGGTCCATGATACGGGGTAGCACCCATATAACAACACCAAAAAATTCGGTATTATGGATAGATTGGTCACATGTTTCAAACAAATTGGCTATTATTTTAAACTTTGAATTCTCATTGAGTACAAAATCGTCCAACCAAAAATTAAAAATTTTGGTCAAAATTTCGGGGTAGCCGCCATAGAACGATACCCCCTTAATTGTTCTATATTTTAGGGGGTTTGGGCATATTTTGCATAATGTTATGCATGTATTTAGAACTCAATTTCAAAAGAATTGGTTTTGCAAAGAATCCACATTTGCGGACGACACTGGTTTTATTGCCTAAGATGATGAACAAGAACGAAATCTGGTTTAATTGTTGACATTTCACGTCATAACTTTCGCTTTTATTGCATTCTCTGTGCAGAGTATATAAGGGAACCGAAACCACCATCCAGCATCATTCAAACTTAGAATAATCAAAAGATGCGTGCTTTCATTGTATTGTGCTTGGTGGCTGTTGCCTGCGCCGACAAATTGGGCTATAACTATCACCCAGTTGGCCATTCCTCCAGTGGATTGTCTTTCACCCCCGGCTCTGGTGCTTCCTACAGCGGCAATTCAGGTGCTTCCTTCGGTTCAGGCTCTGGTTCCAGCTTTGGTTCAGGCTCCTTCGGTTCGGGTTCCTCCATCGGTTCCACCTTCGGTTCATCGGGCTCCTCATTCGGATCTGGTGCTTCTTATGGTGCTGCCAGCAACAATGTTGGTTCCTATGCTGCTCCAGCCGCAACCTTAGAAAAGGAATTCTACACTTTCTCTGCCAATGATGCTGACTTCAATGAACCCGCTGCCTCCAACAACTTCAACGCCATTATCAAGAAAAATCTCCGTGTTATCTTCATTAAGGGACCCGAAAACAATCACTTGGAAGATGCCGTCCTCGGCTTGGCCAAACAAGCTGCTGAACAAAAGACCGCCATCTATGTCCTCAACAAACAAACTGACCTCTCCGGTTTGGCCGAAAAGATCAACACCGTCAGCACCAACGTCAACCACAAACCTGAAGTCCACTTTGTCAAATACCGTACCCCTGAAGATGCCGCCAACGCCCAACGTGCCATCCAAAGCCAATACGACAGCTTGGGTGGTACCTCTCAAAGCTTCAATGGAGGTGTTGCTCCTGCCTTGAACTTCGCTTCCCAATCAACTCAAGGATCTTTCAATGGTGGTGTTGCTCCCGCTTTGAACTTCGCTTCCCAATCTACTCAAGGATCTTTCAGCTCTGGTGCTACATCCTCCTACGGTGTTGGTCCCCAAAGTGCCTACAGCGCCAACTTTGGTAGCATTGCTCCTGGTGCCTTTGCTGCCCCCAGCGCTACCTATCTTCCCCCATCTGTCTTGCGTCGTCTCCGCCACAAATAAATTAATTATTAATATTTAATAATTACTTTATTTAGTCTGGAGAGCATGATTCGATAGTGTTTTAATTTTCTTTCAGCGAATAATAAAGATTTCAAATTTTCAGAAAATATAAATTTACGCATTTTCTTAAGAGGATCTTTTTTAGAAAATCAGGTGCTAAAATTGAAAAAATGGGTAAATAGGGAAGTTTTGGAGTGATATGCTAAATTTGAGAAAAATTTGGATCAAATCAGTTACTTCATATGAGAAATATTTTTTTTTATCAAATTTATGTCTTCCAAATTGATCCAAGCTTGCTCAAAATCGTACAGACGAACATTTTAAAATGATAGATAAATTGTAATAATCATATAATAAGTTACACCACAAAATATTGGTACTGGAACTACATTTTAGAATACCGATGGCCAAATGCCGTACCTATATTTTTACCCTCCACCACAGGATGAAGTGTATATTAAATTTGTGATTTGCGAAATATTCACCTGAGAACCTAGCTTGAGTTTTGAAATTTTAGATATACATTGCTATTGCTCTTAAGCTGCTTGGTTTTGGTATTATTTAGAGTAGACCACATTTACGATATTTTGAAGCTTTTGGAACAGTTTTTCAAGTAGCAACAGTAGCAATTCAATACTCACAATATTCGATATTATGTATAGCATGTGTTTCAACCAAATTGGATATTATTTTATATTTTGGATTCTCATTGAGTACAAAATCTCCCAACCAAAAATTATAAATGGTAGCCAAACTTCCGTGTAGCCCACATTACGCCCTATATTCTGTATTTTGGGGGTTTAGCATGTTTATCTAAAGAATTTGCTTTAATTGCATTCTTCAAATTCTCATGGATTGCTTAATCTTTCTACTAAAAAGTAAGAAAGTGTCAGTCGGCGTTGCGACATATATGCATCTTCAGCCTATGTTTTACGGAGATCTACAGAATAAAACACAAAGTGTTGGAGTGGTTCTCGATGATGTTGCCCTATAGATGTGCAAAGTTTGGATCAAACCAGACATTATTATACCCTCCACCATAGTATGGAGGGTATATTAATTTTGTTTTTCCGTTTATAACTCATCGAAATAATAATTTCCGACCCTATAAAGTATATATATTCCTGATCAGCGTAAAAATCTATGACGATATAGCCATGTGCGTCTGTCTATTGTAATCACTCCAGCCTCTAAATGAATTGAGATAGATCGCCAAAATTTTGCATAGAGTCGTCTTTTGTGTGCAGGCAGGTCAAGTTCGATGATGGGCTTTATCCGTCCACGTTTAGGCATAGCTCCCATTTAAGGGTACCCCCCAAATTTTGGTATTTTTGGGTTCTTGAGCGCGTTTTTCAACCGAATTCGTTGAAATTTTGTAAATTGGTTATCAAATATCTCCGCTAAAAATTATAAATATAATTCCATTTTTTCTGGTAGCTCCCATAAGGGGTTCTTGAGCGCGTTTTCAACCGAATTCGCTGAAATTTGCTACATTGGGTTCTTATTAGGTACTAAAAGTCTCCACAAAAAATTATAAATATAGGCCCACTTTCTCTGGTAGCCCCCATATAACGGTACCTCATAATTTTCATTATTTTGGGGGGTTTTATCGTAGTTTTCCGCCGAATTATCTGTAATTTAGAATTTTGAGTTCTTAATAGGTACCAAATCTATCCACAAAAAAATATATAGGTCTATTTTTTCGGATAGCCCACATATAAGGCTACCCCCAATTTTCGGTATTTTGGTGTTCTTGAGCGCGTTTTTCACGAATGATGTGTGTTAACTTTCGTAAAAATCGGTTCAGATTTAGATATGTCTTCCATACTTATTTTCGTCCGATTTTATTTAAATGGTATACCAATGCCTCTATATATCTTTTAAATTGCAAGAAATTTGGCACGGCGTACTGAATTGAACTTTGAATGGTGTGTCTTAAGTTTCGATGTAATTGGTTCAGATTTATACATACCATCCATATATATTTTCGTCCGATTTTATTTAAATCATATACAAAAGCCTCTGTATATCTTATAATTTGACGAAATTTAGCATGGCGTACTTAATTAAGTCTAGAATGATGGACTATGTCTTAAGCCTCGAGATAATCGGTTCAGATTTAGATATAGCTCCCATATATATTTTCCTCCGATATAACCAAATAGAATAATCTATATTGGAATATTTAAAATGTGTCCATATGTTGATATATACGGTTTATATTTTAATGTGAGTTCATGCAAATTGTGCACCAGATAACAACCGTTTCTGCAATCGGGATACATTTTGGACAGCACACTGTGCGGCAGCATACCAAATGGTTGCTGAAATACGCCCTATTTACATATACCTCCCATACATAATTGTGCTCGATTTCATATAAATGGTACACCAAAGAACCCAAGTCCGTTCGATTAACATGCAATTTTTCATAGGTTTCAGAATTGTTTGTGTATAGGTTGGTTTAAATTAGTTCAAATATCAATGTAGTCCACACGCCGAAAACTGTAAATCCCATCGGTTCCAAAATTTAACACGTTATTCTGTACATATGCCTGTCACCGATAAATTTCAATCGATGAAGTTCTTCCTTATTATACCCTACACAACTATGTTGTCAGGGTATTATAGCTTTGTGCAGCCCCAAAAGTTTGTAACGCCGCGAAATATTGGTCCTAGACCCACCTTTAAGTATACCGATTGTCATATCTCGACTAGCTGAGTCGATCTATACATGTGCTCCCGTCCGTCTGTCCATTATAATCTGTAAACACGATACAGCCCAAAGTTATAGACCAATCTTCACGAAATTTTGCATGTAGGATGGGTTCTGCCCAATGAAGACAAATGACAAAATTTGTATTCTATAGTGTATGGATTTACCCCTGAAGGACATAGACCCGAGAAGTTGATAGTATATCCAAGAGGAGTGGTTGGCCTTTAAATTGATAACGATTATATTGTCGTATGTACTCGGATTAGGGAGTTACACGTAAATATTTACAGTTGCTTACGTATTCAGATATTATTTAATAAACCATTACCACACTAGAGGGCGGAAATATAGCGCTGATCGCTTTGTTATGTTGCATGAGATTCCAGTTATTGTCAAGTACAACGCCTATAATATCCTGGATGATTAGATAAAAATTTTGGGATGAAGTGGACCTAAAACTTATTTTTTGTGTTTTTTTTCGATTCGATCTATAGGCTACAATTATAAGCCGAACATCACAACACAACCCACGGTGAAGGGAATATGGACAAGTAATTAGAAGGGATCTACTGAATATTGGTAAAATTCAGAAAATATGTCAGTATAAGGAAGAGGTGCTGTTGACCTCTAATCGTGCAATAGGGTCCAACTATCACAAAATATTGCCCAGGCTCGGAATAAAAATCCATAGAAAATTAAAGTTCCGTGGTAGTTGTGTAGGATATTGTATGGTCGGCCCCGTCCGACTATACACTCCGCTCACTGGTTTTCTCACCAGATTATTGTCATAGGTCCACCATTTTATTAATTTTTGTGCGTTGGTAATAATCCTAGTTCATACCAGAGTCAGACACGTTAAAATATTACAGCAGTTCGCCTTTTGTAATACCCCAAACCTCAAATCCAATACACTCGTATAGTTGAGCATATCAACCATTCACCTAAACAGCTTTTAATTAAGATTGTCAACTCTTTCGAATTTTTCGTTGTCGTCGCCGGCCAAAATATGTATGATATATTGCCTCTATTCGATTTGTTATCAATGTATAAACGGTGCACAATATGCAAAAAACATAACCTACTAATGCATCGAAATTCAAAATAGATAATAAATCTTCGAAAATTTTGAAAGTATTTGTATTTTTTTAATTTGTTAGCAAATAATTAAATGTCAACAAATCGGTATGAAATACAAATTTCAATGTCAGGTAGGTAGCGCAAAAAAAATAAATATTAGAAATGACGTGATCTATTGGCCTTTGAACTGTTTTATTTTTAATATCTTCTACTGGTGACCCTACATGACATTGTGAATATCTAATAAGCAAGAAATAAATCAATTTACAAATGAAAATCGATATTTTTGAAGCATCTGTTTGTGTTATAATTAAATCGAATAATGTGGGTTGACAGTTTAGAAAATATCATAAAATAAATTATGAAGTATTTTATGAATCACAAATTTTAGATAAATCTAGATGATTGTGCAAAAGTATTGATTTTTCTTTGTTGACTATTTGTATTCTTAGGATGAATATTGGTATTTATATTTTATACAATAAACGAATAAGATGTTGACTGCATAGATATACAGACAGGTACTTGAAATAAAAATATAGGGAACATACCAAAAAGTGTACCTATACCAACATTTCTAAAAACCGATTATGGTCCTAAATATTGGTCCTAGACCCCATGTTTCCTTGGACCAAATTTGTGTCAAAAAATTTTGATTTCATCCACACTTTGGCCATCTTATTACTTCTTTCGAAATTAGTGCAGCGAATTCGGTTGAAAAACGCGCTCAAGAACCCCAAAATGCCGAAATTTGGTGGTACCCTTATATGGGGGCTATGCGAAAAAATGGACCTATATTTATAATTTTTTGTGGAGAGGTTTGGTACCTAATAAGAACTCAAAATACTAAATTACAGCCAATTCGGTGACAAAATACGATCAAAACCCCACAATACTGACAATTAGGAGGTACCGTTATATGGGGGCTACCAGAAAAAGTGGATCTATATTTATAATTTTTTGTGGGGACATTTAGTACCCAATAGGAACCCAATGTACCAAATTTCAATGTATTCGGTAGAAAAACGCGCTCAAGAACCCCAAAATACCGAAAATTGGGGGTACTGTTATATGGGAGCTATGCATAAACGTGAACCGATATATCCCATCTTCGAACATGACCTGCATGCAGACAAAAGGCAAAATTCAGAACCCTATCTCAATTTCTTCAGAAGGTAGCGTGATTACAACCGACGGATAGACGGACGGACGGACATGGCTAGATCGTCTTAGAATTTTACCC